ATTTGACTACTTCTTCACCGTGGAAGAACATAGGTAAAATTTGACTGTAGACTTTTTTTGTGTTCTCAAAGATCCTTAAACTACTTGTTCAGCAGCCTGAGTGCTCTCCAAACAGAGTAACTCCCATGTGTCTAAATAAGTACCATGTTATCTGGAACCTTTTTACTTTTCCCCAACAAGATTATCATTTGCTGGCAATGTTAATTATTTCAGGTGGCTGCCAGCCCGTTGAAAATCTCGCTCACTATAAAGCTTCCACCTGTTCAGAAAAAAGAAATCTGGTTTAAGTTTCCATTATGGACAAAGCATACAGTAATTTCCCACTTAAACTCTTGGGTAAACACTCTGTTCCAGCCTAACCCCAGGTAACCTGTGTTTTTATAATGGCCAGCTTAACCTTTACTTTGCTCCACTATGTGTAGCAAATCTACTTGTATTCGTTTAAAAGCAATTTAGCAGGAATCTGTGAGGAGACATTACTGAGACCTTGATTATTTATTCTGAAGTGGTACAAGAGTATGCTACTCAAAATAGAAAGCACTGGATTAAAAACAGTAATGTGGGTTCATTGTGGGGTGGTTTTTTTTTTCCCTCCTGGCTGTTGAAAATGTGGTTGCCACATGTCAAAATTACATGGTGTCACATTGTGATTTTTTTTTTTTTTTTTTAATACGCAGTCTTTTCTTTCACAATCAGCTGTTGTTATCTACTGATGAAACCTGACAACATGTCAGGAAAAACTTATCAGTTTAGCAAGAATTACACTGCTTCTGGTAAAGAACATCATGTAAGGAAAGGAAAAGTGTTGAATTTTTTTTTTTTTTTTTTTTTTAAATACTTGATTTGGTGGTTAAATCTAGAGGACTAGACATCCCTAGAAAATGATCCCACTAAAACGATTTCTATGTTTGTGCAGATAGCTGTGAAAAGCAAAATACGTTCTACTCAAATGTTAGTATATTCCTGTAGTCTTGTTCACTAAGGAGCTAAGTGAGAAAATTAAAATTCATGTCTAGTCAGGGAAAATTCAGAAAAAATTCTGAATGTTGGCAAGGATTATCCTGAGGAATAGGTGTCTATTCAATTCAGTTTTTCCCTGTTAAGTCACTGGATTGAAAAAACTCTGTTGCTTCTAGAATTGAAATGGGCAACTTAAATGCTTTTTTTTTTTTTTGCATGATTTTGTACAGTTGCACATCCTAATAAGAGTTAAAATGACTGACTTTGCCCCTAAATAGTTCTTAAAAATTAAAAATACCATCTAGAAAAGGCTTATGTGTCAAATGTATTGTTTGGTACTTGTTGAACAGACTGTTCTCATAATAAGTAGTAATTCAACTGCAGGGTTTTAAAGGCAACAAACAGAAGTCTGAGGACACCAAATGTTGCTAAGAATTTATGCATAGGAAGTAGAAACTCCAGATTTTTCTTCTGAGTTTCTTCTAAATAAATTCTGCTCCTCACTTCTTATCCTCCGAGAGGCCAATTCCCCTGCTTTGCTCTGAGCCTGTGGTGTGTTTCACCATGCCAAAAACAACCCAACACTGTTAGGATACGTAAAGCATGAAGGAGTTCTGGTAGACCACAGTGCTACATTTGGAAAATTTTATGGATTTTATTGTAAAAGTTGAGATGGATAGCAACAGACCTTGTTGTAATGTTTTTCTCCCTAGATTGAACAACTTCGTGTGAAAATGTTAGTTTTCCCCTTCAGAGCAGCTAGGCATAAAGGAATAGTTTGGTCAGCTACTTTGTCCTGAATAGATTTGAACTGCAAGCCCTTGTTTATAAGGCACGTGATCCAATTTGTACCCTTTTTTTTTTCTTTCTTTTTTTTGTCTCTTCTGTTGGCCATCTCCAGTCCATTATTATGCTTTATTTATTTTATTTACTTGCATATCTTTGAAGTGTGCCTGTGGTATTCCAGGAGCATCACTGACATTGCTAGTAATTTCACAGGTAATACTGTAAGGACCACCATTGCTCACCAGTATACCTTGCCTCCACACCTCCCCAGTATTGCCTTATTTCTCTGCTTAAAGATTTCAGTGGTCTGTTTGGCCCTGTCACAGTACTGGAAGCTCACGATGGTTATCATCTGTAGCTGCCTTGCTCTCTTCTTCCTCACTGTCAGACACTGCGTAGTTCTCCCCATCTCTGCTTTGCTGGTGCTGAATTTCCCTATTGAGTAAGCACCGTCTGCGTTATGCATTTCTCAATATTTTTGTTTGTTTTGTCTGTGTTGAATCATAAAAAGTAGTTTAAATCTACTATTGTGCTATCTTAGCTATTTTAGATTATTTCTTATTAGTGATGTTCTCCAAATGGCTTAGGAGTGCCAGTTTTGGAGCCTTCAGAGTAAGTGTGAAGAACTGGATTTGCTCTGGCTCACCCTTTGCCTGAGAAATAAGCCAAGTCAGATGCGGAGTTTGAGTTCTGTAAACTTGCAGTTGGTGTGGGCTGACAACTCTTGTTGCCTAGACCTACACAAGAGGCTGTTTGACATAATCTGGCAGTTTAAAAAAACATTTTTCTTTTTCCTAGTGCAAAGGCAGTTTTATTTATGGCATGCAGAGGCTCAGTGATGCTGGAAGTCTGCTGTGCTCAAAGACGACCCGTGGAGTTTTGTCAGAATCCTGACCGGGGTGAAAAACTAGTTTGTCTTTTCCCTTGTGGTGCAATTCTTCTGCTCCGGTTAGCTGTCAGCTCTCTTGAGTGTTTGGTTTAGCCAGCTCAACAATGAATCCAAGTGCGCAAGAACAGTACTGCAGGGGAGAAAACCTGAATATTTTCCTCTTCTTTAGATGGCTGTTGCTGAAGAATCTTGCCAGCTCTTATATGGCTTAAACAGCGACAAGTCCTCGGAGCAGAGGAGTAGGTTTCAGTTTTGCTGGACTTAACCTATTGCATGATTGGAGTGCGTCTTGTGTTTGAACTTAGACTTTCAGAAATACAAATAGGCTTTAAAAAAGTTGTGGGAAATAGATGACACATACTGACATAAAGGGCAATAGCAGCCAACTCTGCAGGCTTTGACTTGTGTCTAAGGGTATTTAGCTGGTGACGCTTAGCATCTCTGCTGGTTTAAAAGCCGTGCTTCCTGGAGGCAGGGACAAAAAGTCTGGTTAGAAGCAGACTGTTATTACAGAGATTTCTGCCCCCCCGCCCCTGTTCCCTTTCCTTCCCCCTCCCCAGTTGCAACCTTTCAGAAATATTTTAGATTTGGGACTTGAGCTGGGGAAGCTTTCCTCTCCCTCTCTCAAGCTTTTGTATGTGTTCAGATTTGATGTGACATCTGGGCACAGTGGAGAGGAAGTGGGGGGTAGGGACAAACACTGGAGAAGTTTCTTATCCTGCTTGTACATAATTAAGGAGCATGCCTCCTGGGAAAAGGGAATAAAGGCACCCCAGGTCCTGCCACGAATTACATGACTTACTGCTGGACCAAAAGTGGGCTTGACAGTTGCCAGAAGGTTGGCGCGGTAATAGCCCACCTACCGGCGGGAGAGTTGAAGGTTCTCCTCCCATCGCTCCCAACGTGAGACCCCACTAAGAGGATCTGCTCTTCCTCCCTGGAGAAGGACAGAGTCCGTGCTCACAGCGAGGCAGAGGCTTGTGCCCAGAGGACAAGGCAGCCTGTACTGAACGATGTCTCACAAAGTGGAAAATATCCCCAAGTGCTGTGTTTGGGGAAGGGGGTGGGAGAGTCATTACAAAGTGTGAAGCTTGGCCTAATGATGACATTCTGATGTGGGTTATTGTTTGAGGATGGAAAAAGCGAGTAGTTCAGACTTCATTGCAGGAACTGTCAGAGATTTTGTGGGTTTGGAAAGATAAGAAAGGTTGTGACAGCAACAAAATGCCATGTATCAATCAGAGTCTTGGCAGTGCATTGCAGCTCTCAATTGAACACAAAATTGGAAATGCCAAATTCTCCAGCCTTTATTGCCTCCCTGTGTGCAAACATTATACAGTATAAGAATGAAATATGTTACAACTTAATTGATTGCTACTATGTCTTTGTAGATTGTATGTTACAGAAATCTACAAATCCCTTCGCTGCAGCAGGAGGGGAGGGCAGGGAAGTACAAATGTGAGTGCAAGGCAAAAAGGATAAAAAAGAGGCTGAGAAAGGAAGACTGTCCATGAGAAAAATGACACATGTGGGTGACACCCATCTTGTTTTAATCTGTAATTTATGGCCAAAATTGCAAAATCTTACTGAGCAGACTGTGGTGGTCCTTCGTTTATACTGGTAGAATGCAATGTATATATCGCCTAATTCAGAGAATGCAATTGAGGCCATAGAGAACAAAAAACTGGTTCCTTTACTTCACAGTTTGATGCAAAGATGTTATGGAAAGTTTACGATTTATTTCTTAAGCACTTAACAAGAAAGAAATTTAATAGCTGCATTTGGAATCACAGAATTCTCCATTTAACATATTGGCTTTCCCCCCCTCCCTTTTTTCTTTTTTTTTGTCTTTTTCCCTCCAGGTGCTCAATACTTGCGTGTAGTGCTTACGTGGCTCTGGCTTTGGGTGATAACCTTATGGCATTGAATCACGCAGATAAACTTCTTCAGCAACCAAAGCTGTCAGGGTCTCTTAAGTAAGTCTGATATGGTCGTTTCTTCTTTCTCAGCCCTGCTTTTTGCTGGAGAGTTCTGAGTTGAAGCTTCCAATGTCTGTAGCTGCTGGCCAATTCTGTATCTGATGCAAAGAATTGCTTGGCCCGCTCCTGTTCTTGTTGAAGCCCTGACTAAATGTTCATTGACACGCAGGAACGTGAGTCCCCTCGTTTGTGTATGAATTCCATGTAATTCAGAATCGATCACTGCTTTTGTTGCTGTTTCTTAATCTCCAGCTATGGGTCCCATGCAGTGGCAGGACTGCCAGGTCTCTGTTGTGATTCAGTTGGGGCTGCACGTGCTGGTGTTGGCACAGCACAAGGGGCAGGAACGAGTAGCTAGGGTGGACAACATCAGCCCAAGCCAGCCTGCTGCTGAAAGCTCGCTTACGAAACTACAGCCGTGGAGGGGAAGGTTTGCTCAGTCAGCAGGGTACCAGATCTTGGATGTGTGTAGGACTGTTACTTCACCTGCTGCTGTTGCTTATACAGGTTCCGTTCTTCAGTTTCTCTTTTTCAGTTCTCATTTGGCACTGTATTTTTTTTTTTTTTTGAAAGATATTCAAAGCTCATTCTGTTTCTCCCCACCAGTTCATATACGTCTCTGCAAATTCAAAAAAGGCAGCTTTAGCCCTATCCTTCTGACCTTGTTTGTGCATTTAATTCCTATGTCATACACAGTATAAAATATAGCAGAGGTTTTTATGGTAGTTGTGATATTTTTCAAAGCTGTTAATGTACTTGTGGAAAGCAAGCTAACTTGTGCTTATTTTTATATGCTGGCAGCATATTCTAGAATGGTCTGTGCCAATTAAATTCTTTGGCTTCCATGCTTCGAACTACTGCAGCAGCTAATCTTTTTGCACAATCATTGTAGAAGCAAGATATTAGAGGAGTTTGCAAGGTAACGTGATTTTGTGAAGGCAGTGTTACCATTATGTAATGCAAGAAATGCTAGATAACAGGTTTTTTGTGAAGACAGAGGCACCCTGTGTCTTGGTCCCAAGAAACTAGGCTTTTGTGCAGATTTGGAATATTGAACTGTTCCTGTTTTCTTAAGTGAAATAAATTGCATGTAGAAAGTTATGTTTGCTGTATCAGATCTACATTGCAGAAGTTATTTTGGATGACTGACTGATAGTACACCTGACATTTAGTAATTCATTACAACCACCTATACAGTCACTTTGAAGTGTACTGTATACAGCTACATAGAACAAGCGTGAACGTTTTTGCTCAGATTCTGTTTCAGACTAAGTATTTGCCAGCTAAGCATGCTCTTGATCAACAGGATTCCTTCTGTTCCAAAGTTGAAAAGTAAGGCTGCTGATTAGCTGAGCTGAACTACAAGTGTCAAACATCAGACTCGCTTAATTCTTTTGCAAAACCTTCAGTTGGAAAGGTGTTTGTGCCCCATGGGACAGGTCTGTAGAGTTGCTGTCCTTAGAAATGCAGCTATCTTACAGAACTAGTTTGATTTTTGTTGAATGTAAAGTCACTTAACACCTCAAAGTATAGATGCATCCGTGTCCTTGGGTGTTTTTGTAAGGATTCCTTTTTTAATTCTCTGAGATAAAGCCATACTGAGGTACTGTCTCTTTGGAATGGCAATTTCTGTGCATAAATAGTCACTGCTCAGGTGCAGATTTTTTTCACATCAGTGCCTAAAAGCAGTAAATGGTAGAACTGGGTATTATGACAGTACTTTATAAGCGAGGTAGCTTCCATGCAAGTGTTTCAAGTATTAGTTTTCATGTGCTCACGTTAAAAACGGCACTCAGTTTGCTTTACCTAACAAATTGTGGGGGTGGTTATGCTGACTTTTGTACTTAACCCTTTGCTGTTGTAGGTTTCTTGGGCATTTGTATGCAGCAGAAGCTCTCATCTCTCTAGACAGAATATCTGATGCTATCACTCACTTGAACCCCGAGAACGTCACTGATGTTTCCCTTGGGATCTCTTCAAATGAGCAGGATCAAGGTTAATGAATCCACACTTCATTAGAACTGGTTATGCTTTCAGCTGCCCTCCTGCTGTAACTTTCTATATAGAAATATAATGATGATGAAGACATTTTCTTTTAAGACTGTAGGTTGTTGGGGAGGGGGGGATGTTTATGTTTTTGTTCTTGTGTTTTTGTTTTTCTGGCTTTAGTTCCTACTTCGGTTTCTTTTGCATGTTTGTCATTCCTTTGAAGTGGCTAACTGTCACATAAATAGAACTTTATATTGTAGCATTCTGGCTTGTTTGAAGGTAACTCTTGAAAGCTGCTTCTGTTAAATGTGCAATTATGGTTAAATTTGGGCTTCATACCTTCTCTTCCAACTGTTTAGTCTCTAAACCAAGCTTTGGAGTACCAGCGAAGTCTACTTCCTGCATTTGGTGAGAGAGAGGAGTGGGGAGAACTTCGTTAATCTGTATCTTAATCTTCTTGCAGTACTTCCAGTTGGGAGTGTGTATTTTGTAACAGAAAAATACTTCAGAGCCCATCACTATAGTTAAGTCTACAGCAGCTCTGATTTCAGTGATACGTCTGCGGTTTAAACTTCACTGTACTCATCTGCAAATCTAAAAGCAAAACGTTAAAGACAGGAAGTCATAAATGGTGTAAGCTCTTGAGCAAACTGATATGTTTCTTTCATGAAGAAAGAAGCAAATTTGTATCTTTTAAAGTTTATTACAAAATAATACAAAAAAACCTCATGGAACATGATGGTGTTTGTGGGTTTTTTTTCTTTGTAGGGTCTGACAAAGGAGAGAACGAGGCAATGGAATCTTGTAAGTACCAGCTGCCATATTCAGCAGAGTACAGGAACTTGGCCAGTTTGGAATAAAAATGTAAGGAAAAAAAAAAATAATTTTTTTTTTTTCTTGCAGCTGGCAAGCAGACCCCACAGTGTTATCCTAGTTCGGTCACATCTGCACGAACAATGATGTTGTTTAACCTTGGAAGTGCTTACTGCTTGAGGAGTGAATATGATAAAGCTCGGAAGTGTCTTCATCAGGTATGGAAAACAAGACAGCTTTAGGGACAAATGTGCTTCCTTCAAAGTGCCATTTAGATCACAGCAAATCCTGGTGACTTCATCGCCCAGACTTACTTGCAGACTTTACTGAGATGCCAGCTCTCTTCTGTCTTTATAAACCAACCTGTATAAGTTACATAAAATAAAGGAAGTCCAAATTTCTTTCTTATGTAAATAGTTCAGTACCACTATGCAAAGCTTTTTTTTTTTTTTCCCCTAAATCGTATCAAAACAGTGGAATATGACAAGGAAGCCATTTCACTTTTTATAAGTTTGTGTTTGTTTTGGGTTTTTTTTTTCTAAATGGCCCAGTAGTAATTGTTATATTTCAGAGGAGAAAGTTCTTGAGGGCCTTGAGTTTACTTCTCTCTAATCAGTTAATAACTCATCACCTTTAGGACTGTGAGAACAAACTACAATTCTGCTGGAGGACTGTTTCTTACCTAACTCTTGCCCCAGGAATTCTCAAGCACTGCTTTTGAAATGTTCCATCTACACTTGGCCGGTGTAATTCGGTCCTTCTTACAGCTGGGACCAATCTCTTTCAATGATAATGTTTGTCCCTCTTTGCATCCATTCCTCTCTGTCAGGAAGACTAATCAAATGCATTGTCAGTCTGCAAACTGAAACAGTGGTCCTCCAAATTACTTCATAATAGTTGTATAGGTGAACAGGTTCAACTTCTGTGAAGTTCTCAACCGTTAATGACGGTTGTCTTGCACTTTTTCCTTCTGAGGCCTCTTAGGGTTGGGCAGATGTCTGCTCTTGGGCTCTGTAGCACGTATGTAAAGCCTAAAGGAGCGTAAGACTATCGGTGGATATAAAATATAGTAGGTCTCTGCATCTACAACAAATCCAGTGCTTTTGGGAAGCCTCACACATTAATTATTTTGTATGCCCACATTAATTATTCTGTGTGTGCAGTTACACTGTATGAGGGGGAGCAATGTAGAGCACATATCCTTGACTGAAATGAGATGCATGGCTCCCATGGCTAGTTGGGCCCCGCTGAGCAACAGAACAAAGGCCAGACAAGTATTATGAAGTGTTTAACGAGTGAGATTCCAGCTTTATTTGCTGAAATGCTGAGGCATTTGAGTTAATTGCTGAAAACTGCTTGTTAAGGGAGCTTTAAAATTGGATAATTACCAGTTGTCCATTCTGAAGAGCACCTGAGAAAGACTTCCTAAACAACAAAACTCACATGGTGGTTCAGAGTTCCTGAGCCAGAGTGGTCCAGCAGGTCAGGGCCAGGGTGCTTGCAGAGACTAACCTTTGCACAAAGGGAGAAGGCAGGCACTGAGGAATGGGGTATTTCCAGAACTTGGCTGTGGTGGGTTTTTTGGGGAGGGGCAGTTTGGGTTTGTTTTTTTGTTTGGTGGTGTGTTGGGGATTTTTGTTTGGTTGTGGTTTTGTGGTGTGGTTTTTTGGGTTTTTTTGGTTTTTTAAGGACTAAGGGATTTGCTTTGCATTTCTGTCCTCCTAATTCTCATGTTCCCTACTTCCTACCATACCATAAGGAGAGTTTGGATTCTGGACTATGGGGTGCAGATTATAGGGGGATGAGAAGGATCCTCTGTTATTAGTGGTCAAACTGTGTCCCCAGTATGAGCTCCTGGTGAGATCAGGTCTGTCAGGAGCTGTTCGCTCCCTCTCTGTCAGAAGCATAGACCCCATGTTACTACTGGGTGTTGAATCTTGAACTGTCAGATGTGAAACACTGAGCAGAATGGTTTCTTCGTGGTTTAGTGGATGGCCAGATCAGCTGATTTTTATTTAGCTTGTTAACTAGGTGGTTTCTTCTGAGGGAGCATCTCCTCCATCTGTTTCTTGTAAAAAGGTGCAGATACCTGGTTGTGGTACCTGGCATCCCTGTTGTAAATCATCTTCTTGTGCCTGTTTTCGATACAGAATCAGTCCTGTTACCTTGTCATCATTTGTGCAGATGTGTCCTTTCTCACAAAATGGATTTAATTGTACAAACTTATAGAGACAAATGTGCATTTTTCCTGCCCCCTCTGTACTGGGCACTTACAGAAAAGGTGGACTTGCAGGATTCAGTCTTACTCAGATCATGGGAGTCATCCTTGTACTAGGGTTATCAAATTTTCACATTTGAGATGTAGTTGAAAACAGTAAGTTTCAGAGGTTGGGACAGAAATTCTTTCCTACTTACCATTTTTCTTTCTATTCATGGCTGGGCATTACCATGCAGAACCACTGGTGTGGTACTTAAATACCAGTATGATGATGATATTCAGTGACCTTGGAAGAGGGAAGGCAAAGGATAAGGAGGAGGGAAATAATATTTTCCTTTCAAAGGCCTGGTAGTCTGTTTGGGGTTTTTTTGGTTTGTTTGGTTCCCCCCCCCCCCCCCCCCTTTTTTTTTCCCTTCTTACTTTTTCCACCCCGTTCACACTAAGATTTGAAAGTGCAGAGGGCCCTTCTGTTTGAACTGAAGGGAATGAGAAGCAGAGTCTGGTGATATACGGTGTGATTCTGGGTGTAGAAGCTGGTGAGACAGAAAGCAGGGACCTGTCTGGGATGTCTGGAGGCAGTTCTGCAGAGCTGCGGTGTTCTGGAGGCTCTTGGCTCAGGACACCTCTCAGGGGAAGCACAGGGACCTTCAAGCCAAATAAAATCAATAGCATGTACCCGGTGTGCTGTAGATCAAGAGCGGGGGGTTGGATCTGGAGCTAGTGTAGAAGACAGCTTCATTGACTTCATAGCTGACTAATATTTGTATGTGGAAAGCTAATGAATGATCCTTGTGAACTTTGTATTCTGAACTTTGGAGCAGTGGAGGTTACCTTCTTCACCTGTCATCTCACCAGAAAAACACAGTAGATTGGCCCAAGAATCGCAGACTCGTATTAGCATAAGTACACAGCAGATGGTGCTGCTAATTAGTGCGAAACAATCTTGCAAGGCAGATAATATTTCAGTCTCTTCTTGCATGCATAAACCTAATACAGTGTATTAGTTTGAAAAACCTTATCTTAGTTTCAGAATTGTTATTTGGTTTTGCTGGCTAAGGTGATGGTAGTAGTCATGTCAAGAGGTGCTTTCTCTGAGCTAGATGTATTTCTCAAGCACTTCCTCTCCCCACCCCTTTTTTCTTTTTCAATAAGGCTGCTTCGTTGATCCACCCCAAAGAGATCCCTCCAGAGGCTATTCTGCTGGCTGTATATCTTGAATTACAGAATGGTAAGGAATTGAACTTTTTTCCCCAACATTAAAATCCCTAATTTAACATGTAAGCTGCAATGTTGAATCTAATTTGGTATTTTTAACATTTTGGATTTTTCCTTGAAGCTTACAGCTAGCCCTCATAGGCAAAATGTTAAAGCAGATTCTTGAGTTTTGAAATGTTCTGTCGACCTAGGTTTGGGATACAAGGGGAGGAGGGCAGTAGTCATCATTCACAGTCTTCATAGAGTTGTGCCAGTATTTTGAACGGCACCCTTTTGGCCCTGTCTCCCTTTTACTCTGCTAGGGACCCATGGATCCACACCTTCATTTCTGCTGCTTATTGCCGTTCTGTTCTCACACATTCCAGACTTCCTAAACCTTCATCTTCTGAGCTGAAACCTTCTATACTTTGTGCAGAAACTGGCAGCCTTGGATAGGCTCAGTAAAACCCTTGATGAGGTTTATACTCTAAAGAGGGCTTTGACAAAGCTTTTCTTTAAAAGACAACTGCAATCCAAGTTTCCCAAAGAGAAGCCATGGCAAGGGCTATGTAGCAAGTACTGTAACAAATCTTGTAATACGGGTAACTCTCTCTTCCAAAATCCTTCCTTTTGAAGGTTCACTGTGTTTGCATGGAGAAAAAAACCTCTACATAATGGGAAACTGGAAAGATTGCACTTGAATTCTGCAGTGCGAGCAGGCTGGTGCAGCTGCTGCACCATTGAAGCTGTCGTGGTTGCGGAGCTGTGCCCCTTGGGGCTTCATATCCGAGTGTTGTGAAACGTCCAGTGTGCTTGTTCCCCTTCGGCTGTCTTGCCGGCAGAGGGCTCGAGCATTTGTATTCAGAATTGTGACTTCTACAAAGCTTTTCTTACAAAGATGTTTGTAAGTTGGAATTTTGGAAACCTTTCTTTCTGCAACAAAGTGGCACAGAGCAGAAGAGAGCAGGAAGTGGGATTTATGTCTCTCACACCCTTCTAAGTATATAACCAAAGGGAGCTAAAAGTGGGGGGTTGGGCCTATAAATGCCAACAAAGTGGTGCATCTCTTCTGAGCCTAAAACTTTAGTGAAAGAAAAGTATTCGGTAAGAGGGATAAATGTTCTTTTCAGAACTTAGTGGGGTTTCTCCTATAATTTTATAGGTTTAATTTTTCACAATAATTAATTTTTCCATTTATATTGGTATTTATTTGAAGGGCCATGCATGCAGTTGAAAATCAGATTTCTTTTGTTTTAAAACCATGTTTTATATAACGCCCTTGCCATTTGCATTCCAATCTGTAATGTCACATTGCGAGGGCATTTTGTGTGAGAGGCAGAGTCTTGCTGTGCGGATGGGAGAGAGAAGAGTTGCCCTTCAGGAATTTAGAAGGTGCTGTGGCATCTTCCAGCTCTGAGATAAAAGCTGAATGTCTCCAGCTAAGAACAGGTAGAATCAAGCAAAAATAAGTCATACAAAGGTACTACTTTTTTTTTTTTTTTTCTTTTTTTTAACCAAAGGTTCTCTTGTAGGTAACACGCAGTTGGCGCTGCAGATCATCAAGAGAAACCAGCTTCTCCCTTCTGTGAAAACGCTCTCCGACATGCGGAAGAAGCCTGTTTTTCAGCCAGTCCACTCAATCCAGCCCATTCAGATGCCAGCTTTCACCACCGTTCAAAGGAAGTGAGGTTGTGCTCCAACCTGCTGCTGCCCTGCCCATGAGGGCTTGGGATTTTGTATATTTTTTTAACCTAGGACACCTGCATACCCCAATTGCTGGAGTGTGTTCATTTATGTAAATTTTTAATAAAACATGTAAACAAAAAGGCAGGCTTGGAGGTGTTTGTAAAGGTTATTTCATAAAGGAAGAGAAGAAAATCTGTCTTGAAGGTGAGTGGCAGTTTACTTCCTTACCAGAAAGGTTAACCAAGTGAGTGTCAGCTCTTTTTGAAGAGAATAGAGGGGAGGGAAGTGACTGGCAGGAGAATACCCAGTACCTGAACTGAAGTCCTAAAAAGGAGGGGAGATGTTGTGCAGTATAGGGTCTGGGGCTGCTGTGTTTTGACGTGGATGAGCTCTCGTTTTGTATGCCTTGAAGAAGAGGGTTTTGCCCAACTTTTTGCTACATTCCTGTAGCGGCTGTAGTTGAAACTGCCCCTTCAGGCATATGGGTGAGCGCATGGGTGCCCCCCTCCCTGCCCAAGTTCCCCATGGTTATCATCTTTTACTATTTTAAGTAAGTATGAATACCACAGCTTGTGTTAACAGGACAAGACCCTGGCCCCCAGTGGTAGCAGCATCTTTCAAATAACCTTTCTCTCCTCCTTAAAACTAGCAGCTGGGCTGCAAGGGTTAGCAAGTTGCAGGTGCTAAGTGGTTGTGTTGCACTGCCATAAGGCTGCCAAGCAGTAGTGCCTTGGTATGTGTTTGTAGAGCAGTAGTAAAAGCCACCCCCTGCAAGAAAAAAGCCCCTTTGGCATTTGCATGGTCATGATGGCAGCACCTTAGTGTGAGGGAGAGTGAGCTGGTGCTGACTGAGCCTTGGGACCAGGGTGCATCTGCTGCCTCATAATGTGCT